CTATCGGCTTTTTTCAAAGTGTCCTACAAAATAGACGTCAGCAGAAAATGAGTTAAAGCATAATGCACCACAGAGGAGGAGGGGGGGGGTGTACAGGCCGTTCATTTGATTTAAAGCATTCCAAACAGTTTGTTAAAAGTTTATACTGTGTAACCTCCTATGGCGTTTGTTGTCATAGTTAGAAATCTATTTTTAGCAAAATATGGCTGAGACTCTTTGTTTTTCTGACGCCTTAGGGTGTTTTTTTTTTTCGTTTGCTAACAAGTTAGGGCAATAATTGCGGCACTTCTATGACTTCCTCTCTCTCTCTTTCTTTCTCTCTCTCTCTCTCTCTCTCTCTCACACACACACACACACACACACACACACACACACACACTCAATCTCTCAGTCAAAGTCGCGCGCTTCGGTGTTCAATATGAATGCTGGTGAGCATGGGGAGAAAGAGTGCGTGCGGAACGTGGCAAAAAAGGTGCGCAAAATAGGAAAAGGGCTCATGGCTCTAACTTGGGGAGCCAAAAAGCGTGAGCCTTTTTTATTAAAAGAAAGGATTTACGGTGATAAGCTTCGTTTTTTAGCTCCAACAAATTTCATCAGACGAGTGCCGGGTTTAGATCCAGACGAAGACACCGAGTGGAAATCGCTTTAGATACATCTCATGTCTCGAGTTTTTGCAGTCGTCAAATCAATGGCATTGCAGCTACCTACGTCATGCTGTATTATACAGATTAGGCACTTGTCGTCGCACGCAAAAAAACAAAAACAACAACAACACCTGAGTTCGATTCCCATATTATTTTCCCAGTACTAAACAAAAGTATACTATTTTCATTCCAAAAGGTCTGCTTCTATTCTATGATTCTAGCTAAACTAGATCTAAGTAATATATTCTGATATCTTCTATTCTTCGTTTCTTCTTCTGCTGCCTTCACTTTTACTGAACCAGCAAATTTTAATGTGGGGGGGTAGGCTTTTTCTTCGCTAAATAACGGGAGTTAAATTCCAACATGCTCAAGTTTCTCTTTCGAAAAAACCCCGTGCCCCTGCCAGATGTACCTGACATATTCTTGATTGACCATTACACTCTTAGTGGAAGCAGCCCGCCTCCATAATGATTTTAGACTGTGTCAACAAAGGCGCAAAACACTCTACTTTCAACAAAAGCTTTTACTGGTTGAGAATCATGCCGTCAAAAATACCACTTTCCATTTTCTGATTTTAAAAAAAGTGTGTCGACCACTTTTCGAATATAAACCGGGAGCAGTTTCAGTTTTGCTACAATAGATTCTAGATCTAGCACATCTCTGACGCTGCAACTTAAGTCACTACAAGACAAGATGAACGCCGCTGTAATTCTCGCCCTCTTCTCCGTCCTGGCTGCAACACAAGCACTCCGTGAGTAGTTTTTGGAACACTAGAACTTTAATGCAGAACAATCTACAGAGTCCCGTTAATATTAATTTTTCCCCCATTCAACTTATCAAAGTTGTCTAGAACAAGGTGGTTGGAGGCACGCCAATTTTCCAGAAAAGGGCAATCTGCCAAGTGCTTTTTCTGATATTTTATTGACTTCTGCGGTGCCACTAAGACGGTTATCAAAACGCGAAGTCTTATTACTTGGAAGTGAGAATGTTATAGCAAACCACGAAAGGACGCTGTTAATGTGTCTGTCTGTGATAGCCATGGCCAAGACTCTACCGGCGACTTAGCTGGACTTTTTATTGTTCTTCACACAAAAGCTGGGGGGGCATAAAATCATGACTTCCCATCGGAAAGCTTCACATTTGCATTTTATCGCATCCTTATTAATGCAATCACACAGGGGGGGGGTCCCTCAGTGACATATTCTGTATATATCTCCCGGTTATCATGTTCATTAATGATTAAATGCCTACCTACCAGTTTCCTTTAAAACAATTATTCTATCGTTTACCTCATTTACAACTCTCCAGCAGACCCAGATGAGTGCGATACAATCAGGGTGGAAAGTTGGAGCTACAAGTACGCGGAGAAGGCTGTACAAGATGCCTCCTATGTCCTCAACATGACGGTCGTTGATCGGCAGTCCGCGGCTGCGTGTACCCTGGGTGAATCCTTCGGCTACCAGAAAGCCACACTGTGGGTGGATCACGGCTGTCGTGCTGACTTCAAAGTTTGCTATCTCCCAGGTAAGTTTTAGTGAGTTTTATGGCACTTGCAACACAGTCATTTGTGTCCGAAGATTGAACTGTTAAAGTAACTAACAAAATGGAGAAATACGATAGTTTGATGGGGAAATGAGCAAACCACACCAGTGCGCCCGCCAACCACCATCACCCAAATCTTTCAGGTAAGACTGGTTCGCAACGAGAAGCAATGAGGAAGGCTGTGACAATTCAAAGGTTGTTCCCAAAGACGTTTCCTAAAGCTTCCTAGAAATTAAATGGTCTGACTTTTTCATAAAATAGTTTACGTTGTTTCAGTTTTGTGTTTTTCTTTTGCTTCCCCAGTGAAGC